TATAGGAAGGTGCCGATATATGGGGAGATATACGATATTGTGGACCTATAAAGACAAATCTATGTCTGCGTGTAAAGTACTCACAAGGAACTCCGTGTGTGGATTTTCAGACAATACGATTGGAAAATGTGGCTAAAATCATCAAAATACCGAATATCGCGGGGTACCGTTATATGGGAGCTATACGTTATCGTTGACCTATATAGAGAATTCTCTGTCGGTGGGTAAAGTGCTCACAAAGAACCCCTTGTGTACAAAGAACCCCTTGTGACCATTCCGTTGAAAAATATGGCTAAAAACATCAAAATACCGAATATCGGGGGTACCGTTATATGAGGGCTATACAATATCGTGGATCTATATAGATAATTCTCTGCCGAGGTATAAAGTACCCACAAGGGGGTGGACCTGTATAGACAATTCTCTTTCAGGGGGTGAAGTACTCAAAAGGAACTACTTGTGTTGATTTTAAGACAATTCCATTGAAAAGCGCGGCTAACATCATCAAAATACCGAATATCGGAGGTTACAGTTATATGGGGGATATACGATATCGTGGACCTATATAGACACTTCATTTTGAGGAGGTAAAATGCCCACAAGGGACTCCTTTTGTGGATTTTCAGACAATTCCGTTCAAAAATGTGGGTAAAATCTTCAAAATACCGAATTTCGGGGGGTACCGTTATATGGGGGCTATACGATATTGTGGACCTATATAAATAATTCTCTGCCGAGGTATAAAATATCCACAAGGAACTCCTTGTGTGGATTTTCAGACAATTCCGTTGAAAAATGTGGGTAAAATCATCAAAATACCAAATATCGGGGGTACCGTTATATGGGGGCTATACGATATTGTGGACCTATATAGACAATTCTCTGCCGAGGTATAAAGTACCCACAAGGAACTCCTTGTGTGGATTTTCAGACAATTCCGTTGAAAAATGTGGGTAAAATCATTAAAATACCGAATATCGGGGGGTACCGTTACATGGGGGCTATACGATATCGTGGACCTATATGCACAATTCTCTGCCGAGGTATAAAGTACCCAAAAGGAACTCCTTGTGTGGATTTTCAGACAATTCCGTTGAAAAATGTGGGTAAAATCATCAAAATACCGAATATCGGGGGGTACCGTTACATGGGGGCTATACGATATCGTGGACCTATATGGACAATTCTCTGCCGAGGTATAAAGTACCCACAAGGAACTCCTTGTGTGGATTTTCAGACAATTCCGTTGAAAAATGTGGGTAAAATCATTAAAATACCGAATATCGGGGGGTACCGTTACATGGGGGCTATACGATATCGTGGACCTCTATGGACAATTCTCTGCCGAGGTATAAAGTACCAACAAGGAACTCCTTGTGTGGATTTTCAGACAATTCCGTTGAAAAATGTGGGTAAAATCATCAAAATACCGAATATCGGGGGGTACCGTTACATGGGGGCTATACGATATCGTGGACCTATATAGACAATTCTCTACCGAGCTATAAAGTACCCACAAGGAACTCCTTGTGTGGATTTTCAGACAATTCCGTTGAAAAATGTGGGTAAAATCATCAAAATACCGAATATCGGGGGGTACCGTTATATGGCGGCTATACGATATTGTGAACCTATATAGATAATTCTCTGCCGAATTATAAAGTACCCACAAGGAACTCCTTGTGTGGATTTTCAGACAATTCCGTTGAAAAATGTGGATAAAGTCATCAAAATACCGAATATCGGGGGGTACCGTTATATGGGGGCTATACGATATCATGGACCTATATGTACAATTCTATGCCGAGGTATAAAGTACCCACAAGGAACTCCTTGTGTGGATTTTCAGACAATTCCGTTGAAAAATGTGGGTAAAATCATCGAAATACCGAATATCGGGGGGTACCGTTATATGGGGGCTATACGATATCGTGGACCGATATAGCCCATCTTCGAACATGACCTGCCTGCAGACAAAAGAGAGATCTGTGCAAAATTTTAGCTTCCTATCTTAATTCGTTTAGACTGTAGCGTGATTACAACAGACGGACAGACGGACGGACAGGGCTAAATCGTCTTAGAATTTTACGCTGATCAAGAATATATATACTTTGTTGGGTCTAAAATGATTATTTCGATGAGTTACAAACGGAATGACAAAGTTAATATACCTTCCATACCTTTTTTGGTGGAGGGTATAAAAAGCCAGAAGTTCTTATTTATGTATTTTGGATTTCGCTGTATGTTATTTTCAGCGATTCGGTAGAATGAAAATGTTGGTAATTTTTACTCTAAAGTATTGGTCCATTCTACCCGCTGTTCTAAACTCTAATATCATGCGAGTTTTCGTGTCTTTTGGTTTCTACTTTTGACTCTTGTAACGCCTGCAAAATCAGGAACATTTCTAGTTGTTGGTCTATTTCAACATCTAAATAAAGGGTGATTTTTTTGAGGTTAGGATTTTCATGCATTAGTATTTGACAGATCACGTGGGATTTCAGACATGGTGTCAAAGAGAAAGATGCTCAGTATGCTTTGACATTTCATCATGAATAGACTTACTAACGAGCAACGCTTGCAAATCATTGAATTTTATTACCAAAATCAGTGTTCGGTTCGAAATGTGTTTCACGCTTTACGTCCGATTTATGGTCTACATAATCGACCAAGTGAGCAAACAATTAATGCGATTGTGACCAAGTTTCGCACTCAGTTTACTTTATTGGACATTAAACCAACCACACGAATGCGTACAGTGCGTACAGAAGAGAATATCGTCTGTTTCTGAGAGTGTTGCTGAAGACCGTGAAAAGTCGATTCGTCGCCGTTCGCAGCAATTGGGTTTGTGTTATTCGACCACATGGAAGATTTTACGCAAAGATCTTGGTGTAAAACCGTATAAAATACAGCTCGTGCAAGAACTGAAGCCGAACGATCTGCCACAACGTCGAATTTTCAGTGAATGGGCCCTAGAAAAGTTGGCAGAAAATCCGCTTTTTTATCGACAAATTTTGTTCAGCGATGAGGCTCATTTCTGGTTGAATGGCTACGTAAATAAGCAAAATTGCCGCATTTGGAGTGAAGAGCAACCAGAACACTGCACTGTTTGGTGTGGTTTGTACGCTGGTGGAATCATTGGACCGTATTTTTTCAAAGATGCTGTTGGACGCAACGTTACGGTGAATGGCGATCGCTATCGTTCGATGCTAACAAACTTTTTGTTGCCAAAAATGGAAGAACTGAACTTGGTTGACATGTGGTTTCAACAAGATGGCGCTACATGCCACACAGCTCGCGATTCTATGGCCATTTTGAGGGAAAACTTCGGAGAACAATTCATCTCAAGAAATGGACCGGTAAGTTGGCCACCAAGATCATGCGATTTGACGCCTTTAGACTATTTTTTGTGGGGCTACGTCAAGTATAAAGTCTACAGAAATAAGCCAGCAACTATTCCAGCTTTGGAAGACAACATTTCCGAAGAAATTCGGGCTATTCCGGCCGAAATGGTCGAAAAAGTTGCCCAAAATTGGACTTTCCGAATGGACCACCTAAGACGCAGCCGCGGTCAACATTTAAATGAAATTATCTTCAAAAAGTAAATGTCATGGACCAATCTAACGTTTCAAATAAAGAACCGATGAGATTTTGCAAATTTTATGGGTTTTGTTTTAAAAAAAGTTATCAAGCTCTTAACAAATCACTCTTTATATTGCGGACATCTTTAAAAACAATAGCCCTAGTACTTCTCAGCGTAACCCTACCCTTATGAAAATTTTCGTGGGGATCGGACGATAATTACAATATGTATATAATAACTCCCACCTGTGTTGTAAGGTGAAAAAAATATTACAAAATGTACTCCTCAATGTTATAAGTCAAATTGAAAAAGTCGCATGCGATAAAAAATATGAAAAAATAAAAAAAATCACAAAATCTATTTTAACATTAATATTGGCATGCTTTAATATTTTATGCCAAGAGGGAATTCTGAATTGACAAAATTTGTCAAAATCGGACCAGGCATTCTTGAGATATAAGCATTATGTCTAATATATCATTCCTTTCTATATACACATTCTATATATTTCGTTATATATATTCGATATATTTATGATCGGAATCTCCGTAACGGTCAGAATTTACCTTTTCATCTATTTGTGTTTTCGTTGGGATTAAAAATATTCGCAGTTGAATGGAAAATTTGACTTTTATTTAACACAAATGTTATGGTCTATTTTACCCATTAAATATAACCCAATGACAATCAAAATTGGAAGACTTCTGCCCAGCCCTAAGCTCTAGCCCCATGCTAACTTCCGCGTCGATTGGTCCATAATTGCGACCAAAGCAATAGGGTTCTATTCTGACCCAAACCCCACCTACATTTTCAATTTCGTAAGTATCGGGCCATTATTGTGACCTGTAGAGTGATTACAAATTAACATGGACAGACGGACGGACGGACATACATAGCTAGATCGACTCAGCTCCGCGAGATAGGAAGATATATAAATACTTTCCTATGTGGGAAACCAATATTTCGAGGTGTTACATAATTTTTGGCCCAATCAAACTTATAATACCCTCAACTAGAAACAATCAATACCCTTTCAAAAGGAAGTGTAAAATACAATAACTATTCTTTTAACGAACTTACAAACAAATAGGTAGTTTCATGGACTGCGAATAAAATGAACTGCAAACTATAATATCAGAGACCATTTATGTGCAGCTGGGCTTTAAACCATTCCAGCATTTAGAACAAAATCAAAATGAATATACAGGCATGTCACAGAATGTAAAATCGTTCAAGAGTGAAAACGAAAACGGTTTAAGCTTCTCTAAAAAACGGAAAACGCAAAAATTTTGCGTTTTGATATCACTTTCAAAAAGCAGGGTGAAATTGAAATGTTTAGTGATTTTAACGTAAAAAATAAACAGGAGACAGATACATTTAACAGAAAATATTGTATTAACAAAATTCTCTTAGAATGAACATGTTTTTGGAATTTATTTTACAAAAAATCTATTATTTTTCTAATCCATGATGAAAACGCAAAAAAATATGCAGAAATGAACGGCAGACTTGTATTGTTGAATTATTGCATTTTGTGTTGAAGAAGAAGGTGTAGAAATGTAAAAAAGGGATTAGTCTTCGGAAGGTTTAACCATTCTAACGTGAGTTCCGTCAATGCATCCTACAATTCCTGGAATTTCATAATTTTCAAAAAAGTACAATTTCGACTTTCTTTTTTCTTCGGAAGACATTCTTAATTTGATCCAATGTGGACAAATTTCAGCTTCAATTGCATTAATAACTCTCCACATAATTGTAGAAACTGTACTTCTCCCAAGGCTTAGCTCCACATCTCTACCTATAACTCCTTGAAATGCACCCGTAGCCAAAAACCTAAGCGTTGTTGCAAGCTGGATAATAGCCGGTATATTGGAACGTTTGAGGTGGGGAGAAATTTTTTCCAAAACTAAAACAAAAGCTTCTTCATTTAGCCGATAATAAGCTATAAATCTGTAGAAATAAATTATTATTAAAATAAATTTGAAAATAACTCATTGCTGGTGGATCCTTACTCTGCATTTGAGTGAGATAAAGGATCTGATGCGTTCCTCAATGTCCGGCGACGAATTTTTTCAGTAGATTTATTTCTTCATCCATTACAGCAAGTATTGAAGCCCCTGGCATTTTTACTTTTGGTGTTTATATTATAAAAAAACAATTTAAACTCCTTTTTTAATTGTCAATAATTTGTTTACGACTTTTTTTTCATGGAGTTACCATATTTTTATTTCAAAAATGTGAAATGATTTTTTTTCCGGATTAGTCAAAACGTACGAGTGCTGAAGAAGCAAAAGCAAATCGTAACGATTTGGAAAAGGTGAAATAAATCGATTTCGTAAAACTTCTGTGACATGCCTGATAATCTCAATTTAATTTCAAATATAACATTTTGTCCAATCTTCAAAGAACATTTAAATTTTCAGTCGAAATAGATGCTATCCTTTTGAATTTTCAAGTATCAAATTTGAAAAAAAAAAAAAAAACAAATAAACAAGCTGTAAGTTCGGCCGGGCCGAACTTTGAAAACCCTCCACCATTTGGTACAAATTAAACAATTTTCAAAAAAATAAAATCCGTTAAAAATTCTGTTAAAATCTATACGACTACGTGGACCTGCATAGGCAACATTTGTCACCAGCTATTACAATATTCAAATGCGAAACTTAAAAAAAAAAATTGTGAATAATGTAGCCAAAATCATCAAAATACCGAATATAGGGAGGTACCGTTATGTGGGGGCTGTACGAAGACGTGGACCTACATGACCCATTTTCTGTCTTAAGCCGTAGCATTTATTACGAACTTTAAATATTAATTTTGAAACAATTCCGGTAAAAAATGTCGCTAGAATCATCCAAATACAGCATATCGGGAGGTACCGTTATATGGGGGCTATACGCAGACGTGGTCCTCGATAGCCCATTTTCAATACCAAAAGTCCTGAAGACATAGTACACATTTGAGTAAAATTGTATCAACCTACTTCATTTCGTTCGGAAGCTAGAGTGATTTCCACAGACGGACAGACGGACGGATAATGATAAATTGACATAGAATTTTATGCTGATGAAGAATATATATACGTTGTGGGGTCTAAACTGTATATTTCGAGGTGTTACAAACGGAATGACAAACTTAATATACCCTCCATACTATGGTGGAGGGTATAAAAGCAGGAGGTACGATTTTATGCGGGCTATTGACAAACATAAACTTATGTAGATATTGCCACAAGTGGCAATTCCCATTAAAACTATATATGAAGAATTAGAAACAAATCCTGTAGAAGTATTTTACGATGATCAAGAATATATGAACTTTGTTGGATCCAAAATGAATATTTCGATACAAGTTTTGACTAGCAACTGAAAATACTGAAAAAATATTGTACAACTTTGAGTGTGTTTCGTACAAAACCTCTAAACAAACAAAAACACTAGTACTGAACCTTTAACTTTTTTTACCATCAGAACTTAATACTCTTTTTACTCTATATACCCTCAGACATTTATCTCAAGAGGATATATATCATTTGATACAGTAACAAGTAAAAAAGCTGTAAGTTCGGCCGGGCCGAACTTTGAATACCCTCCATCATTTAGTACAAATTTGGCAATTTTCAAAAAAATAAAATCAGTTAAAAATTCTGTTGAAATCTTCAAAATACCGAATGTATCCGTTTATTAGGGTCTATACGACGAAGTGGACCTGCATAGGCAACTTTCGTCATAAGCTATTACTATATTCAAATGCGAAACTTGAAAAAAATCTGTTTATAATGTAGCTAAAGTCATCAAAATACCGAATATAGGGATGTATCTTGTGGGTTATAAAACGAGGACCTGTACAGACAATTTTCTAGCTAAGGCTGTAGTATCCATTACGGACTTCAAATACCAAATTGGAAATTTTAATACCTGGGAATAATGTCACTAAATCATCAGAACACCGAATATTGGGAGGTATCGTTATATGGGGGCTATACGAAGACGTGGACCTACATGACCCATTTTCTGTTTTAGGCTGTAGTATCCATTACGAACTTCAAATACCAATTCAAATCCGTAACGAACTTCAAATACCAAATGTGAAGCAAATCCGGAAAATAATGTCGCTAAAATCATCAAAATACCGAATATCGACTTATAATTTTATTCTGATCAAGAATATGTATACTTTGTGGGGTCTAAATTGTATATTTCGAGGTGTTAAAAACGGAATAACAAACTTAATATACCATCCATACTATGGTGGAGGGTATAATAACCGAAAATTTAAATGGCTTAAGTTGAGTAAGAGTAGTTTGTTGAGTTCTGCCCAATCGGATGGTATTTATCTAGTTCTACGGAAATCACTCCTCGCCTAGATTTCCCAAAGCATTGCGAAGGAATAAACATTATTTAGAGCTCCACCTATTTTAAGGAACGCAGTTTGAATATGTTGCGAATGTTCTATAAACCCAATTAGTTAGATATTGTATGGCTTAAAATGCTTAAAAATTACTATTATTAATTAGTGATAATGCTGCTCATGTCTTCGATAGTAATCACAACCATAATTGCGCCAACTTTTATATTCCTCGTTTTGTCTGAAAATATTTTTTAGTGCACAATTCCTATTTACGAACGAGTATCAGATTATATGCATTATGTCATCAGCGTCTCAATAGCATCACTTTTCATTCACTTTTAAAGCTTTTATAATTGATCTAATTAGTGTTTATTACTATATAGACATTTGCAGCCTAGCTATTGCTGCCCATTTCTTGAACGCAAAAAGAATACAAAGACAAGTTATCTGGTAATTTACTGCTAATACTTAAGGGTAATTTAACAAAGGTAATCCTTACAAGACTTGGGGTGGAACAAAATGATGGCTAACTACTGAACTATATGGTCAGGAAAAAAGCAATGGCATAATATATCAATGGACAAATGTCTGTTTCGTACAGAGAACATACCTTGACCAAGGGAATAGAAAATATGGTGTTAATGAAAGCCCCCTTGGTTTTATTTTTATTTATCCGATGAACCAAAATATTATGCCTTTTTTACAACTCGTTTGTTTTTATTTGTTGACGTTTAGCATAATTGTAGTAATATTTATTGAAGTGATTTTTAGTTGTTGTGCTTGGTATATTTAAGATGTTTTGTACATACATCTATTTTTCTAGGCTTTCTGGTTTTTAGGTGCAAACAATCAATGTAGCCTCAGAAAAAATATCTTTCAATCGATGCCTAGTGAATTTATCCTGCGAAAAAACTAATTTTCACATTTCTTATATTTTTTTATTACTTCTCTCCTTGTAAAAAATGATATGCCATTCCTCAATATCTTACATTTCTTCAAGACTTTTTATGAAGATAATAAGTCGACGATTAATTTGATGGACTTACTTAAATTGATGGACTTACATTGTTGTGTTTCTTCAAGATTCAAGGATATTTCTTGGTTCAGTAAAACTTTCCGCGGATGTGTCCACCTTCTTATATCACTGATGGATGTTGTCCTCTCCACAAATATTCTTGAGAGACTGATTTCACTCAATTTGATAATCAACGACTGATTTATTATTGTTGCTATTAGGCTCATATTGCGAGATTGAAGATCCCTCAAATGTTTTTAGCCTTCACCTTCATGTATCTACGCAAAACATTTATATTTGTAATGATTCTTGGAAATAATTTTTTTTGTCAAATATCTATTTTCAAGAAAATTACAAAAAAAAAAAAAATAAAATCAAGCAACGGATACAGTCTACTATATGATACCCTTTAACACTCTAATTTATGGTAGTCTCTGTATATGTGAACGAATTCCCCAATATATTGTTTTACATAATTGATCTACTTGAAAAAACATTCGGGGAATCCATTACCAATGCGTTACAAAATTTTAGGAGCAGTAAAAATTATAAAACACTTAACCTATAACTTTGTGGTGCATATAGAATTGTGGAGTAAATATATAAGGTTTTAGAAAAATGGTATATCCTTTAGTTCATTGGATGGGCCCAAGTGGTCAGACAAGAAGCTTCACCAGGAATTTTAAAAAGTTATTTTAATATTTTTTTCTTTAATAATTTTACTAAAAAGGCAATTTTACTAACTTACCAACGAATTGGTTATTAATGAATAAATTAGTCAATACCTTATCTATTTGTATACATGTTTGGAGGCACTACTTATTAGATTTCCTCATTTTTATACCCCCCACCCTGAAAAGGAGTGTATATTAACTTTGTCATTCCAATTGTAAAATCCCTATATATTTGTCGTAGACCTAATAAAGTGTATATATTCATAATCAGCAATAAAATTTGTATAGGCTTCCGATATTTGTTATTTTTACGTCATATTTTCCCACGAATGCGTCTAAAAATTGGTTTTTGGGGTCATAATGGGTTCTAAATCCGGTGGCGAAACATTGCATGTATAGGTCCACGTTTTGGTAACTGTACCTGCCGATATTCGATATTTTGATAAAAATTATATTTATAGTTCATAGTGGTTTCTAGCTCGGTGGCAGAACATTGAATATTAAGTTCCACGTTTTCCTATTGCGCACATATAACGATACCCACCGATATTCAGTATTTGGATAATCCTAGTCCTAGTTTCATATTTGGTATTTTAGGAGATTTGATAGATGACAATCCTTGAAATAAAAACTTTTCTACAGAGGTTCCCGTTTTGGTATGTCCCCATATAACGGAGTCACTTACTTTATGATTTTTATAAGCTAAACTGTATTATTAATTGTTATATAAAAATGTTTTCTTTACTCTAAGGTGGAGGATATTAAAATTTCGACCTGGCCGAACTTAATGTTTTTTACTTGTTTCTATATTATCTTTAATTCATTCATTCGCAATAATTATATAATAGACGCCCTGATATAAATTTAACATTTTGTCTACCTTAAAACTAACAATTAAAACTTTCAATTACTGTAGGAAACGTATTATAGATGGATACGCACGCACACACTCTTAATGTCTAAAATTTTATTCGTTTTCATTCCTTAAATATTTTATGTTGTATTTAGGAACATGTGAACACAACCAGGAGATGGCATATCAAGGGACTAGTAAATCTATCCAAATGTAGTTTATTACGACTAATTAACTTCTCTTTGAATAAGTTAAAGGGATTAAAATAGAACTTAGCTAAAGTCAACGAGAATTTGTGGGATGTTTACTTTGTTTAGTTAGTTTTGTCACCGAACAACATACATATTCTAATTCATTAAAGAGCAATGCTTAGAGGCCAATGTCATTTCTGAAATAAACATAGTCCCATCAACCGCAACATCATAATCATCATCAACGTCAACATCATAAAATCTTTATACATT